TAAGCTTGGTGGTTACTTTTGACTGGTTGAACATGAGTTTTGTTTTTCTTTTTTCTTTTACAAGGAAATAAAGCTCAATTTAAGTTTTTCCTACTGAGCAAGATTTATAACACTTATTAGGATGCAAGGAATACAATTAACAAAACCATTGTTTTTTGGATTTATTTTGGAGATATTTTCATAAATATCATACCCTTGTATTTCTAAATTTGCTCACAAAAGTGATGGGATTTTTTTTAACTTTTATTTAATGAATATAAATTTCCAAAGTACAGCTTATGGATTACAATGGCTTCCCCCCCATAATGTCCCTCCCACCCGCAACCCTCCCCTTTCCCACTCCCTCTCCCCTTCCATTCACATCAAGATTCATTTTCGATTCTCTTTATATACAGAAGATCAGTTTAGCATACATTAAGTAAAGATTTCAACAGTTTGCTCCCACACAGAAACATAAAGTGAAAAATAATAGATGATTTTTTAAATGATGATGAAACCAGATCAGACCTATTGTCATGTTTAATAGTGATGGGATTTTAAGCTCTTTTATAAGTTATTTTGAAAATATGGACTATCTCATTGATAACGATCATAGTATTCTGGCATATTGTGGATGAATATGTAAAAAAAGGCTGACGTTTTCTGTAACACAGAGAAATTGGACAGAAAAGAGGTAATGCATATTCAAGCCCTGAGACAATCTACTGGGTCAGTTAATGCTATGCAGAGTAGTAACATTCTGTTTGCATTGCCTAGAATAAAGAAAGAAAATTAATATATTCGATTTATTTTACTGTCTTGCTTAACTTAATGTTTACAATTATATTTTTTCTTTAGGATTTATCCACTTCATGCCCTTGTATACTGTTGTATTTAAATAATCTCCATGTTTATTAGTCAAATATTCTCAAATGAAAAAGAATGAAAAATATAAATATGAGGCAGGCATTTGGTTTAGCCATTAAAACACCACCTGTATCCCATATTGGAATGCATATGTTCAGTTCTGGCTCTGCTTCCCATTCCAGCTTCCTGCTAATGAGCACCCTGGGAGGCAGTGTGTGATTGCTCAAGTACTTGGGTCCCTGCCATTCCATGTTGGAGACCTGGATTGAGTTCTAGCCTCCTGGATTAGCTATTGTGTGAATTTAGGGAGTAAAGCATTGGATGGGATATTTCTCTCTGTGTGTCTTTCTCTCTACCTTTCAACTAAATAAAAAATAACCTTAAAAATTAATATGGGTAGGCATTGTAGCACAGTGGGTTAAGCCACTACCTGAGGTATCTGTATCCCATATTTAAGTGCTTGTTTCAAGACTTGGCTTTTCTGCTTTTGATCCAGTTTCCTGCTAACTAGCCTGGGAATCAGCAGATGATGGCTCAAGTACTTGTGTCCCTGATACCCATGTAGAAGACTCAAATGGAATTCCTGGCTCCTAGCTTCAGCTTGGTTCATCCCTGGCTGCTAGAGGCATTTGGAAAATGAACCAGTAGATAGAAGATTATTCTCTTTCTCTGCCTCATACTTTCTTTATCTCTTTTGCTGTCATTCTGCCTTTCAAATAAATAAACAGATTTTTAACAAAAGATACATAGAAAGATATTTATTATGAAGGATTGGCTCATTTGATTATGGAAGCTGAGATGTTCCATCATCAGCCCTCTGCAAATAGGAGGCAATGGAAAGCTGGGTGTGTGGTTCCAGTTCAAATACAAAGTAAGTTCTGATCCCAAGGTGAAGATATGAGACCCAGAAGCTCCAGTTGTCCAAAGACAGCAGAAGATGGATTTCCCAGCTCAAGCAGGGAGAGCCCACTTAAACTGGTGAGAGTGGTCTTCTTTCCTCAGTCTACTAATCCAAGAGCTAACACTGATTCTGAAATACCTCATAGTCTACCCAGAACTAATGTTTTACCAGCCATTTTGTTATTCCTCACTGTAGTCCAGTTGATCCATAAAATCAATGATCACTCCATCTTTTTAAGTGTTTCTTATGATATCCTCTAATATCAAACTACAGAGTTGAAAGAATTTTATACTAGTTTTGCAGTCTTCCC